ATTTTGCCTTGAAATTTGCCAATTATTTAGTTAATTCAATGTGAATTTAGTTGTGAAAGTTTGATAATAATCTACGAATTGAGTCAAAAACTACAGCTTCTTACAAAACATGCCCCAAATGGGCACTTCTCCTCTCTATATGCACAATTCAATCCGGCGAACAAAGTTCATCAGTCCTTTTTGGTTCGAAGGTGACTGGGGACGTGCTATCACCATGAGCAAGGACCAGTAAGTTGTTAAATAAGTTTGGGAGGTCACTTAAGCACCAGAAGGGACATCAAAAGAGATAAGCAGTGGTTTCAACAAGCCAATACCACCCCAACACTGCAAATGATATGCTGAAATGGTTTAGGCAATGCTCTGGTGGTCAGCTCATCAGTTGCAGAAAGCAAACCATATGGGCAGCTCATTCGCCAGATCTAAATCCCCAAATTTTTATCTTTGAGGATTTCTCAAAGCCAATGTGTATACTGACAGGCAATAACTACCCCAATATTTACCATCCACATTAATGTGTATAGGTCAGGGTCATTAATAACTTTGTTTGCAGGATTCATTTGTGCATAGAGAGGAGAAGTGGCCATTTTGAGCATTTTTTGTAAAGTAATGTAGTTTTTGACACAATAAACAGATTATCATCAAACCTTCGAAGCAAAATTCACATTGAATGAACTACATAATTCTAAAATTTCAAGGCAAAATATGCAAAATTGACAGAGTTATTCAACTTTCTTACGGTCCTGTTTTTTTTGGACACCCTAGTGTTCGTTGGGATTTCCTACTCTGTGGAGTTGCCAATTTATAGTTGTAAATTGTGAATTGCAGGTTCTACAACATGAATCAGAACATCCCCAGCTTCTGCAACAACATGAATCAGAACATACTCAGGTTCTACAACAACATGTGTCAGAATATCCCCAGATTCTACAACAACAGGAAGAACTTCACTAGGTTCTACAACAACATGTGTCAGAACATACTCAGGTTCTACAACATGAGTCAGAACATACTCAGGTTCTACAACAACATGTGTCAGAATATCCCCAGATTCTACAACAACAGGAGTCAGAACTTCACTAGGTTCTACAACAACATGAGTGAGAACATCATCAGGTTCTACAACAACATGAGTCAGAATATCCATCACTAGGTTCTACAACAACATGGGTCAGAACATCCCCAGGTTCTACAACATGAGCTAGAGGATCACCAGGTTCTACAACATGAGTCAGAACATCCCCAGGTTCTACAACAACATGAGTCAGAACATAATCAGGTTCTACAACAACATGTGTCAGAATATCCCCAGATTCTACAACAACAGGAGTCAGAACATCACTAGGTTCTACAACAACATTAGTCAGAATATCCACCACTAGGTTCTACAACAACATGAGTCAGAATATCCACCACTAGGTTCTACAACAAAATGAGTCAGAACATACCCAGGTTACAACATGAGTCAGAACATCCCCAGGCTCTACAACATGAGTCAGAGCATCCCCAGATTCTACAACAACATGAGTCAGAACATCACTAGGTTCTACAACAACAATAGTCAGAATATCCACCACTAGGTTCTACAACAAAATGAGTCAGAACATACCCAGGTTACAACATGAGTCAGAACATCCCCAGGCTCTACAACATGAGTCAGAGCATCCCCAGATTCTACAACAACAGGAGTCAGAACATCACTAGGTTCTACAACAACATTAGTCAGAATATCCACCACTAGGTTCTACAACAAAATGAGTCAGAACATCCCCAGGCTCTACAACATGAGTCAGAGCATCCCCAGGCTCTACAACATGAGTCAGAGCATCCCCAGATTCCACAACAACATGAGTCAGAACATCATCAGGTTCTACAACAACATGAGTCAGAACATCAGCAAGAGGTTCTCAGGGGTTGTCAGTTCATGATAACAGAACTACCGCTTGATGTTGAGTATAATAACAAAACTGTATGACAGGAATGATTTTGAAGCTTTGTGTTTCCAGATGAAGAAGCTCTCTACATGTTTGCTATGTGTTACAAGAAGAACACCTTTTCAAAATCATCTTCATGTTCATTGGGACAATGGCCTGGTAGTAGACAGGAAAATACTTTTGTCTTTTGTCTACTTTGGTTGTGTGCAAGCTATTGAAATATTGATGAAATAGTGATCAGTAGAATTAATTTAGTAAATTGATCAGAAGTCTTTGAATTTATAGTACCTATGAAAACATATATTTGGTGAAAAATATCACTCTTGATAGCTAATGCATTTTTATAGTCTCATACTGTTATTTAGATGTTTGTTAAAAGGTTGCACCGAATGTGTGCAAACAATCTTTCGTAGAAATGCCTTGTTAACTTTATGTAAAGATATTCATTTGCAATAACTTTGTAAAGTACATGTAGTCGTTTGATAAGGGAAATCTTAAATGGATGAATTTTGGTGCCCCAATAAAAATGGTATAGAGTATAAGATTTCTGCTTGGGGAATTAGCATGAATACTGTTATTTCAATACAGGATTTATCATATAAAAAAATTGGAGATTGGTTAACTCATTAGATTTGGAAGATCTTTAAGATATTCAATTAATGGTTCTTACACAGTGAACCTCTGAGATCAACAAGGCGTCTGTTGTTGTTGTTGGATTTCTTCTAAAAATTCAAAAATTGAAGTAGCATTAAGCAGTTCTGGTGTTTATTGTATTTTTGACTTTTTGAGGGCTTTTATTTTCATGGGGTTATGGTAATTGTTTTTTCTTGTCAAATTTAACCAGTAATTGCAATATTCATTATGTAGGCATTTTAGTTTATGTGGTGTTATTACCATATTCTCTTAATAAATCCACAGTGTGGTTTCCAAATTGAAATTTAAAAGTGTATGATGTTGCACGAGAAAAATATCGACGATGATCCTTTTAGTTGTGATCACTTAGGTTCTCATACTCTACAGCTACTATTTTTATCTGCATTAAACATGTTGAAAATCATCAATCAATATAATATATCAATCAGTTCTGTTAATCAAAATCAATGTGTTAATATTGAGACAAAATTCAATAAAATAGTCACATTTGCCTCATTGGAATTGTGCGCTCATTAGATAATATGGTATATTGTTTTAGTGAACACCTCTCTTAGTTAGCACCACTTCAGATACATTTCACATCGAATCCTGTATATCATGCCCTCGATAGTTAGAAAATACCTATAGTGGACACTTTTTGTGGCTCAATAGGTGTTCACTATTTACAGGTTTTACTGTATTTGAATTTATTGGAGTATATGTAAATGCGATAGGTCTTTATTTGTGATCGATGTACAATGCACTTGATGTTTCAATACTAAATGCATACATTTTTGGCTTTTGCAAAATATATGTTGTCACTAGTCCACAGTAGGGTGAACTGGAATTAGCCACACCCAAAAATGGAGATAAAGTTTGTTAATGTTCAAGATTGAAGTGAGTCAACAGGTATATGTATAATTATAATACTTTATAAATCGCTTGATAAAATGAATAGTCACATGGGTTGACTTTGAAATGGCATATGGAAATAGTTCTTTGCAATAGATATAAATAAATTGTACATCAAACTTTCTTGATTAGTTTGTTTGGTCCAGACTTGAATACAGCATCAACTCCAAATACCTCAATGTAGTTCAAGGCCAGCTATTATCAGAAACTATAACATTAATTAAAACCTCATCTAATCCCAAATACCTTCGAACACGTAAACTTGAACACATAAGGACCCTAACTTCTAATTGCTATAGCCAATTCACTTTTGAATTTTGAGAATAATGTTTAATTCTAATTTGAGAGCCTTTATCGACATGAATTCAAACTGGCAGAAAGGTAAAAGGTCGGGCAATTAATCCGATTCATGAATACCAAGGGATGCTACATCCCGGGTTTAGAGTATTTTGCATTTCGTTCAGATTATGGCGCCTCTACCGTCAAAAGTTAAAATAGCACTGGTTTCGAGACTATTTTAGTACGTGTCCACTTGAACCACTTGAAAACGTGTATAGAATGGTGAGAAACTGCATGGTTTTGAAAGAATTTTTGCAATGGTAGAGGGTCCTGGCTACGGGCCTGTTAATGGTAGATCCAAACTGATAACATGGTCATATGGGTGTCCTATATCCATAAATACTCTGATAGGACGCCGTGCCCCGGGGTTTTCCGATCGTTTCGTTCAGTAAATAGCACTGGTTGCGAGACTATTCTAGCACGGGTTTCGAGAGCTATTGGCACGGGTTTCGAGAGCTAACAGCACGGGTGCTAAAAACCCGGGTCCTGTCAATGTTTGCCATCGACCCTTTCTCCCTTCCACTTAAGAAACCTACCTCAATGCATTCTAGAACTCAAAATGTAACTTCTAATATATTGGAACCGCCGATTGTCTGGGTTAGTTGGCAGAACGAAGTCTTTTTGTTTCTTATGGCTCTTTTGGTCGAAGTTCGATTAAGATGGCGGTTATAACGGAATTTCCCGAACTCTTCCGTAATAGCACGAACTTGGTTTTTCGTTACTTCACTTCCATGTAAAATGGATTTGTTTCCGGTAAGAAACATTGTTTAACCATTCGGTATACAGTTAAGAGCATAGGATGTCGACATGGCAGTAAATATTGAAAATATTGTCCGAAATTTTCGAAATTCCCTCTTACCCGAAACAAATCCATTTTACACGGAAGTGACGTAACGAAAAACCAAGTTCGTGCTATTACGGAAGAGTTCGGGAAATTCCGTTATAACCGCCATCTTAATCGAACTTCGACCAAAAGAGCCATAAGAAACAAAAAGACCTCGTTCTGCCAACTAACCCAGACAATCGGCGGTTCCAATATATTAGAAGTTACATTTTGAGTTGTAGAATGCATTGAGGTAGGTTTCTTAAGTGGAAGGGGCGTAGATAATTCTCCCAAGTTGTAATCGTACAGGCAAATGTATTGGCTCCGTACAGGACTATAGTCCGGGAACAGGATAAGATTACCCGTATCATTTGTCCGCGGACTGGAAATACTGTTTGGTCGTTAACAAGTGACTTGCTGCCAAGAGCGCTACAGTTGATGACAAGGTCAAACCTACCAACAAACTGAAAACAATGTTTAACAAATATTGGCCAATATTGATGCAAATGTCATGCATAGTGTAAATTAGTATGGCACATTTAGTTCAACTCTGATCGCTTTTTGATATTTGACTTTGTATATTTTTGTAGACTTGTGTATATTTCCATGTGGCACAATTGAGAATTGGAGATAGAGAGCCGCATGTTCAAATAATTTCTCAATGTAATTTTAGACACATGATCACCACTTCCAGTTTTATTAATACAGTCTTCAATAATACCCAGTTGGTGTTTAAAATTGTGAAACAACTCGTAATGATATCAATTCAATCTTGATGTTAAAATGAAACATACGGGTTAGGCTAAGCAATTTTGTTTAATATTGCTCGTAATTTTCACTTTTTCTTAATTTTCCCCTTTACTTTTTAAAAACGAATGTCAAGTTACCTCTTCTAATGATGAAATCGTCTGCTTAACCACTTTGCCACCCAAACGTCTGAATGTTTTCATCAAAAAAGGCAAATACCAACGGCATTCTAAAATCACAGTTGTGAAAAACCAACCATGTCTAAAAGTAAAATAACCAAAGAATTCATTTTCCGAGCCATTTGTATTGCCCATGCCAAACTGAGCAATTTAATTAAAACGTTTTTAAGTTGTTAAATAGCACAGTCGTGTGTTGACAACGTAGATTTATTTTATTGTAGTTTTCATCTTTTAAAAATTTGTTAGCTTACTTATATTTGACCCCAAAGCTGTTAAGCTCTTCTTCTGTACAATTTCTGAAGTTCCCAACATAATCTGCAAACAATGGCTGCTCCTACAAGAAAACATATGTTTCAAGAATGTATATATGTGTTCCGATCAGGTCGGTTAAAAAGACTGGCATTGGATGGGCATGAATTAGCAGGTTACATCAAATTGCCACTAGAGCAGCGGAAACTAGAGTCGTAGAGATTGTAGCAATGGTAAGCTATAAGATACAATTGACCAAGTGATCAAGAGCCGCATTGATATAGTACCATGGGCTTTCAAGGATAATTGAAAGCCCATGATAGTACTAAACAAAAATTTCAAAAATGACCTAGTACGTAGTTAAGCTTTTATGTACTATTTAAGAACCCCTATTCTTACTTATGATAATGGACTCTATCGTATACTATCCAACAGGAATCTACTACTTCTGAGATTCGATCAACTTGAGTTCTTCTAAGATGAGGATTTCAGCAAGGGTACATTGACTTTATATGGTGACATACCTGATGATAGTAAGTCAATCTAAGTCAATGGTCAATGGTGTACTATTGTGTAGTATGTCCTGGTGTTTAGTCAATGCACCCTTGCTAAAATCTTAATTTTCTCAGAAGAACTCAAGTAAATCGAGTCTCAACAAGTAGATTAATGTTGGACAGTATTGCTAGAATCCATAATCATAAGTAAGAATAGGGGTTCTTAAACAGGACATCAGGGCTTGCTTTTCCGGGAACTTTTGTTGGTATGTGCTATCGCATAAATATTTTGGCTTTAAAGCGCCATCAAAGCGCCGTTGGTTTAAACTTAACCTTAATGAACAGGCGGATTATTGAATTGGAATCCTTGAAAAACTCCGAGATAGTGTGGTATACTGTATAGATTATGAGTAGTAGCTTACCCGATTGCTATCGTTATAGAGTTGGTATCCAGACACAACTAGTGCGCCTACTTTGCTCGCATCTGGACGCTTAGATAGCTCTGAGAAGCGATCCCAAGAATCTTTTCCCCAACGTCTAAAACATCCAAGTACCCATGCACATTAAGAAACGCTGAACATGACAAAATGACACCACGTGGTTGCACACTTACAAAAATGTAACGGTTTTTACAGACGTCAAACGCCAGCGTTGATAGTAGACACCTGATAATTCCTTGGAGCAATCATTTATTTCTAACTCTGCCCCTCTTGTGCATATTCACATGATGCTATGATATCGTAATGGTTTTGTAAGAAAGTTTGATTAGTACAAACCGTACCTTAGAGTTGGGATGTCAGTTCCTGGCGCATGTTGTGATGTGATTCTGTATATCCCGGCAGCTCCATCGCTCGTCGTTGCTTGGTTAAACTTATCCGCAAAGATTGTCACATCAGCTTCTGGAATCTCCTCTTGAATTTTGACGGCGGTGGACAGACCAATCACACCAGCTCCAACGACAGCGATTTTTACCATGATTGGTTATGCTCTGACTTGAAAAACAGAGAAATTAATTAATTGATGGAAGCAATGAAAGTGCCCTGCGAAGAGTCTAGTTATAGAAGGACAACGTTCTTTTTCAAGAAGCGAAGTCGAATGAATACAAAGGGTACAATGGAAGTGTTTAGAAAATGAAAAAACACTGATTTAGAGAAATATAGTTTATTCATTTCTGGAGTTACGATCGATATTGGGTTGTTTGGTTTATATCGCAACCCCAAAATGTGTCACGGTATTAAAGATTTACTTCTCAAAGTTTGCTTGGGTCTGCACTCGATTTCTATGGGAAATTCCTCAAAGAGAAAATTCTAGAGATTAAAGAATGTGTATCATTTACACAATTTTAGAAATTATTGGCTTACATGAAAATTACTATTCAAACTAGTATTTAAAACAGCATTTATATTATTCAAAAGCGAATAGGACCGATGATTCCTAGTCCTCTGAAGTTTAAAGAATGAAAATACCTGGGAATTAATCCAAAAGTTTCATTGATAATCCTTGGAAATGGGAAATATTTTTGGGGATTATATGGTGCAATCTTATGGTCAATAAAATGTTTTAAAGTGAATTGATGTTTTTTGGATGAAAAACATAAGCGAAATGCATATGCATGAAAAAACTCCTCCAATTCATTCGACAAACAACATGTCAATTTGACTTAAACATATCCTATTTTTACTGATTTCTAAACGTTCAAACATTTGGATTCAATATCTGGATAGAAGCCCGTGTTTCATAAATACAAGTGCAACCTACGCTCTAAACATTACATCACAGTTGACAGGGAGAGATGACACCAACAGAAACTTGAGATATTACAAATCCATTTATTAATTAAAATAGTATCTGGCGTATGGAGGACATTACCACCTGTTACTTGAATAAAAGATTGATCAAATACTGTGTCTCCTCGGTAACTGCCCCATTCCTTCCTAAATTACTGCTACATACACGTAGATACTCTGGTTTTTCATGTTCCCCTAAGACAACAATCCTTCCGGATCAGGGTTCCAACACTGACCACCAGCGTTCAGGTAAATCTACACACCGGCCAAGTGTCTGTATAGGTAGGTGTTCACTTTTCAAGGTTTTATAACACGGAGTTCTATGGCAGATAAAAAAAAACTCGGAAGATTAGTTCACAATGAGAGGTGTTCAGATTAGAGGCGTTCGGATGTTAAGGTACAGCTGGAAAGTAACATTTTGGTAAAAAATTGCTATACCAGCACATGTTATTTTCTGGTACAAAATAAAGTATGAAGACATGTGTCAATTGCCTTGCTTTTTTCAGGAAAGTATCATTACACTGTCTTCTTTAAGAATATCTAGTAGGAGTTCAATGGGAACTCCAGGAAATTCTGATATTTCACAATTTCTTTTTTTCCAAATTTTCTTTCAAAGTTTCCAGACAACACAGGAGCTACCATTGACCTGTTTCCAGGTTTACTAAAAGTAGACAGTGTAATGATACTTTCCTGAAAAAAGCAAGGAAATGCACACATGCCTTCATACTTAATTTTGTACCAGAAAATAACATGTGCAGGTATAGCAATTTTTTACCAAAATGTTACTTTCCAGCTGAACCTTAAGGTTTTTCTACTGTGTGCATATTTATGTAATCACTGCCTATTATAATACACGCCTGCTTCCCAACAGGATACCCCCGCCAGATTCAGCTGCAGGTAAATTACCTGTTCTTCTGCGCTCTATAATTAGGGAATGTTGGTAGTGATATTAGGCCCAAAATCTGCTCCCCCAACAGTAGTAAAATGGGCAATTTAGTTTTTTTTAATTTAAAGGGCATAATTTTTCCAAATTTTGGGCCCCTCCCCTCTGGATTTTCGGGGCCGCCTCTGGTGTCTTATTAAACATACCCTTGACATTACGAATAGCATGTGAAATTGGGCGAGTGGTGTCCGAGCCCCGCCTCCCCCCCCCCCCCCCCCCACACACACACACACTTCACCACCACCAAAAGCCACGCTTACTTAATAAAAGTAAATGTGATATCTTATGTAACATCCCTTTGTTTGAATCATCATTACTTACTTGTGTGTGGTTTTCTGTTCGTTAAAACATTTTCCATATCATCATATCCACATAATAAAAATATGTCGAGTAATCTACATGTAGGTTCACCTCAGTTCAATTGTTAAACTAACAAGATCACTCCCAGTCCTATCATGAAACTACACTAACTTATTGCACAATCAGGCCTCCTATATGACTGTACGAAGTATAGATGTTCTGCGTACTGCTGATATTAACAAGAGAGATATAATTCGACCTTCGATGCCCTTCGTCCTTCAGTACTGCAAGTACACGGCCGTATTAGATGTATGTAGGGTATCTACGGTGGCCCTTCAGTGTTTCTCGTTAATTTTTTTATTATTTGATACTTTATTATTGCATTTATATCAATATGACGTACCCCACAACAGTATAAAATACATAATTTTTAAACCTGTCAGTGCCCTCACAAAAATTCAAACCTGAAAGTCCGAAATTCAAATCATACGCAAGCATATTCAACCATCGTATCAACCATTAAGAAATGGCTGGATTCCATTACAATGAAAATAACAAATTAATTGGTAGGAAGTAGCCTAATTTATTATAAAAAATTGCATGTATTTCACAATTTTCACAAATTTCACAATTTTCGGGATTTAGGCCTATAACAAGATTGCAGCATGTAGCTTGTAGGCCTAAGTTTATACGTTGTGCAATCATGGCAATGAATCGTTGTAGTAACCAATAAATGGTTGAAATCAATTGCGACTCCATGTTTCAATCTGTAATAGTTGCTATGGTTACATAACGGTTTCTCATAAAAACATCCTATACTATAAAAATGGTTGAATAGATTGGTTGAAAAGATGATTGCACAATGTTTTTTTCCTTTGATATAAAAGGTTGAAACAATGGTTAAAACTATTGGTGATCGATGATTTATGAAACCATTTAAATTCGGACTGTCAAGATTGAATATATTTATAAGCACTGGCAGGATCCGGGGGGACATTTACTAGCCTTTTAACCCAAAATGTCAAAAAACTGGCCTCAAATTTTCAAAAGGGCCCAATATTTGGATTTAGGAGCCTAAAATTTTTCCGCGTACCCATATTTGAAAATTGCCCCCTCCCCTTCCCCCTTGTTAGCTTCTGGTTCCGCCAGTGATAAAGGTACCATTTTGGATATTTACTGTTCTTTCCTGTTCTAGATGATTATATGCAGAACAAAGCATAGCCACAATGCACACATGTACAGGTTGGGAAAAAAACAATACCCAACTATAAGTCAATGTACAGTACCATATTGAACGTAACTATTTTTAGCCTGATTTAAAGTTGGGTATTGGTTTTTTGGCCCACCCTGTATATACAGATTGCTCGAAATAGGGCTGATTAAAAATGCGATGTCAGAGAGTTTAACTTGTATATTGGCCCCGGGGTTCACTCTAAATAAATTGGGTAGGCACATGTAAGTGCAGCGCGACCAGACCTATCACGTTTTCTTAGTAAATGTAATATTCATTTCTTGTGTATGATAAAGATGAAATATTATTGAGCCCCGATATAATGCCTGTAATTGGTTTTCTAACATCTGGATACCAGGATTCTGATATTCATCACAGTAGACTTTGGGAATTTGATATGAATCACATTTTACAAAGATACTTTATGTATACATCACCGTGTACATTGAAATATAAATACTAGTCATAATCGGACCGGGAATCGAAGGTTAAAATGCATAAATTCCTCGTGACCGGGTTTTGCGCAATTACTTAATTGGTCAAATAATTTCCCTCAGCATATTCATGAACTATTTAAAATTGGATACATGCAAAGCCTTTAAACCGTACAGTGTCGGGTCGAATCTTAACTTTACAAGATTGCATACTGTTTCTTTAGCAAAAGTCAAAACGTCTCTGTAAAGTCCAAAATACAACTTCGAAGTGATCAGGTTTCAAATAAAGCCCATCGGAACTTTATTGAAAATGCTAACACATAGGCCTATATCTTTATTCAGAATTCAAGATTTAGACATTATTAAAACCATGGGCCATGTTAAAACTAACCTCCATGACACACCGGAATAGCCTGACTACGGTAAAGTCAGACACCGTTAATCACCTGGTCCTAATTTCATGGGATTTTATCGTCGCTAATTCTGTGCATGCATTAGCTCTTGTGATAATGTATCATATGAAATCCAATTTTCGATCAAATTGGGTCGTGAATCGCCACAATATAGCGTCTTCGATATCGTCAAAAACAACGGAATCTGAATTTGAATATAGAAAGTCAACGGCATATGGTAATTACAGTGTCCGTTGTCCCGTATCTCATTTTGATCGGTTAAATTAAAGACTTTATTTCGATGTTAAAACATTATTAATTGTACAATGAGTATTAAGACACTTTAATTGATTGTTGTTCAAAAGGAATTTAGTCTAGGTGCTCTATTAAACAGACAGTTCATGAAAATCTAATTGAAGCGACGGTTATGTCCGCTATTTGTGACAACGGTATCTGGCTTTACCGTTGCCAGGCTTTTGATGAGCAAACTGGATCGATTTTAAAGCGTTATGGAAAAGGGGATGTTTGGATTGTAAACAGAAAATAAATTTGAATGATCAAATATCGATTGATTGTCTACAGGTCTAGCTCTTCCGATGATCAAGGGGCAGTTCATGTAAAATTTCAACGAGCCAAAAATATAGGTCAAATGTCATTGGTTAATAAATTGCGTACGGATATACATTTTTATTTGAACGAATATTAGAATATACTGCATTTGGGTTAAAGACGTTTTATCAGTATAAACTGTACAATATACAATCCTTTTCGTAGCTCTATCTTATGGGTAAATAAGTTACATTAAAATAACAATATTTGGGCATAGCCAATTCCTTTAATTTTGTGATTTGCACAATGAACTTCAAACCTAATAAAATCAAAATGAGAAATTGTCCTTCAATAAAAGTAATGTATTTCCACTTTCCAGTGAATAATCCATATCCAGACAGTTTTAAATGTATGCATATGAGCTGTGGTGATCACATCCTTACATTTCGCTAAACATCAATTACAACATTAACGTGAAAAATGTAATTACCTGCCATTTGTTACAGACACCGACCGCTGAACACCAACCGAGGAACACCACCAACAAAAAAACTGGAGACTACAAGAATATGTCACTACTTCTGGTGCTGACATAAAAATGACACAATTTTGTGGAGAATTGTATGAAACATGCATCCACCTCTGGACCATTTTTAGGGAGAAAGCGGAAAGCTTTGTATTGTGACCTACTTTTAGTGTGTCTCGTTTGATACAAATTGAGTCAGTTTACTAATTTTGCATCCAGTTGGTTTTGCCTACTACATCTTTAAGTCTTTAAATAGTCTAGATGAAAGCTGAGAGGGGGTTGTTTTGGAGTATATACAATGTTTTATTGCATAATATGTTTGTCTGGTGTGTTTTAATGAAGAATTGACAAATATGCAGTTATGTGACCTTGAGCAATTTTTTTTAGCAAAGTCAGCAAAATTTACAATATTCCATAATTCGAGATTCTAAGAATCTTGTTTTAACAACTTGTACATTTATTTTTACATACCTTTGGTGGTTTCATGTCACATTAACATGATTAATTTTGAAATTAACCTTGAAGTGATAAAATATAATGTCTTAATTAAATGCTGAGTCAGCATTAATTCTTATTATTTTCATTTCAATTGGTTTTACATGTTTGATCAACTAACAATCATATATTTAGACTTAAATGGTCAAAACTTAGTGTTTTAAAGAACAAGGTCACTCTTATAGATAAAATGTCAAATTTAATCAAAATATAATATGCTGATGTCAGCAAAATTCTTCCTTTTTAAATAGCAGAGCCATCATAAGCTATGAGGATTGTCAATAATTGTCATATTCAGGTAGCAGGAATATATTCAATGGACACCTTATATATGTAATATGGATCTGTTACCTTATTAACCAATTTGTACTTAATGAATTAATTAATTCACTTAATTAACATAAATGTACTTTTTCGTCATTGTCATGCAACTCATCCTCGGTATCACTGTCATCATTTATATTGTTCTGTTGCATTGCCTTCTTAGTTTGTTCATTGTTGCACTCATTGCTTCCCTTGCAATGACAGAATATTGTGCATGGCAGATTGGCACTGTGACATGTACATTTTCCAGATGCACATGCATTAACTGTAGCACAATTACACTTGATGAGTTTTAAAACTTCTTGAGGGGCACATGGTGTATTTGGTGGTAGTGTATTTGGGCGAAGCATTTTTGAAGATTCATCTTTGCTCCATCCATATTCAGTTGGATCAAGTTGTGGTGGATTGGGATGATTGGCATTTTTCCAGAGACATGTCTGAAAATGTGCCCTTTTTACATTTTCAATGAAGGCCTCTGTGGTTGGGGGTAGGGTCTTCAACTTAGGAGCGACTGTAATCCGGTTTTTTGCATTTTTCTTCGTCCACACTTCGAATCGTACATCAGACATACCTGACTCATCTTTTGCTTGAACACCATAACAGTGTGCAACAAAGGATGTAGCTTCCTTGATGACAATTTCAATATCTGCTTTGATATCGCCAATGTGTTGCAGAGTGTGATTTGACTGAAGTGCCTTGATCACTGTTGCCTTTCCAATGCCAAACAGATATCCAGTAGTATCACATCCAGACAGAGCATGTGCACCAAGGATCTGCTCAGCCAAGAACTCATGCTTTTGAACTGTACCTTTTATTTCAGTGACTGCACGCCCAGATGAGGTTGGTTCCATAGTTACCTGGCAGGAAAGGTTTTGTTTGTGGTAATGATACAGGAGCAACAAGAACACATCGGTGTCATCACATATTATGTTGATTTTTTCTGCACCCTCTGATGAAATCTTTAACACCTGGTGAATTATTATTAGATCTGCTTCTTCCTGGGTATTTGTAAGATCAATCCGCTGGGATCGTTTTCCTTGACAGACCTGAATGGGTACTGCGTCTTGTCCCGTGACAATAATCTCATTAGAGTATGCTCCTTCTACAGCGACTTTCACAAGGTGATCACAGATGTATTTGATCAATTGCTCTTTGTTTGATGAGACAGACAGAGTAACATTTTGCGGAGGGAGAGGTGTCGTAGGTAGCAGCTGATGGGCTCTGCTAGCTGCTTTACGTCTTGTAGAACGGGTTCCACTCTTGATGCTATAGTCATAATATCTGTCAAATATAAGGTACACATGACTCTGTTCTAGTTTCCTCAAGATATACGATGAAAATGAATTCACATAATCCTGTACAGTTCCTGCCAATGGCCAGT